GGGGGGGGGAGACACCCGAACGGAAAAGGACCCACCTGGGTTAGCCGAAAGCGGCGCCCTGGCACGGAGGCTGCACGTGCTCAGAGCCACTGGCCGTGCCCGACACCAACCCCGTCGCTTACCATGATGGCGACCCCCGAAAACATGACGGCGGAAACCAGCTGCCAGAGCCTGCGTGGGAGGGAAGAGAAAGGAGTTAGGATAAGCTTAGGGGTGATCCCACCCGCCCTGTGCTACGCCAAACGCTCCCAGTGGTCTGCACAGCTATTAGCCTTCACCCACCCTCCCCGCACGCTGACGTAGTAGCCACTGGTCTCCAGCACGAGAAAGCGGCTCCCCCGGCCCCCAAGGGACTGCAAAGGGGCTGGCAGGGCAGCACAGCTGCAGGCCTCCCAACACCCCAGCCACCCCGGGGCCCCCCGAGGCTGCGCGAGGCCTTACCTGAGTCCCAGTGGTTCCCGGACAGCAAACTTGATTTCATTTCCCAAGACCTGACTAATCTGAAATTCAAATAAAAGACACAAGTTGCCTGAACAGGCCTGCAGCCATCAGCCCCCGGGGACGCACTTGAACCCCGTGAGGGACCTTAGCTCTAAGACGAGCGAGAGGAGGAAGAGGACCCCATGGTCCATGACCCCATGGTCCTAAAACTTGCCAAAGACTATCCTCATTTTCATTGGGAGCTGCAGCCTCTGCAGCTTCCTTAACAGGATCTGCTACGTGCAGTATAGCGTTTGGGCAGGCTCAGCATTAATTACGTTTTCCCTCTTACTTATGCAAGTCAGGAAAGGCCTCTTCTCCCTGTATGTACCCTTCGATGCACACCTCGAGTCACTGACCCCACCACTGAGGCTGGCAGTCATGGAGGGAGAGCTGCTTAGGATCTTCCTATGAACCAGGGATGCAAGGTTGCTCATGGGAGGAGATCAGTTTTTGATGAGTTTTAATGAAGCACAGGAACAGCTCAAAGGCCCACTCTCCATGTGGTGCTCTCACATGCCCAATGCCCAGCCTTCCCTGGAGCAGGCTCGGTGCTTCCCAGCTTCCTGCAGAGCAGCTGAAGGCTGTAACTTTACTCAGAGCTTGGCCAAATTAAACCCTCGCATCGTTTTGAAACCTTCCTCCCCTTATTTTCTTCTTTAATAAAGTGGATTTTTCCCCCCCCTCAGCTCCAGAAACAATTTCCCCTTCTCCTCCAGAAGATTTCTAGTAGCAATTGGGTCTCTAAGGATTGTCATCAGCTCTAATTTACCACATCGCTACAGAGCACAGGCTCCAGCAGAGCCCACAGGATGCCACGGCATCAGTCCTGCTCTTACAGGTTCACGCTGGCCAAGAGCAATGCCAAGCCATAACTACACGGAAGGGAAGCCTACCAGACAAGAGGCTGCATGACAGGACAAAGGCTCTGGGCTGAGCCAAGCAGCACCCAGAGGGGACAAGTGGAAGGCTGTGATCCAGTTAATTGCACTAAAATCCCCTCCCTGCCCCATATCAAAGCTGTCCCTTAGGCATGGACAGAGCATTCCCTGCTGTATTGCCCTTATTCCACAGGGGCACGTAGGACTTGAAGTGCAAAGGAGGTGCCCCAGGCACCAGGGCTGCGTGTGCAAACACAGGTGGGAGACGGGTTGTCTGAGGCAGAGGCCGGGCTGGACCCAGGCTGCCCAGCACCTCCAGGCTGGGAAGCCCCCAGGCTCGACCTCACGCCTCTGCGTGTCACATAGGCATCATCTCTTCCGTTTCCTCTGACCCTCCCACGCTGGCAGAGCCACGTGCAAGAAAACTGCTGATAGTGGTCTCCAAGTAGGCACATCTTGCCTTTAGCTGCGATAGCGCTGGGAGCCAGCTTCGTTGACCCGGAGCGGAGCTGACACAGGGTGGAGGAGAGGAGGAAAGGGCTGAAGGTGCCTGCCCCGAGGCAAGCGGACAGGACAAGGCTCAGAAGCCTTTTGCCCCAGGGGAGGAAGGGGCAGTTCAGCAGAGGCTCGCTTGAGAACGTTAAGCGGAGATGCAACACCCCAAAAGCCTTCTATCAAGCAAGCAGCAGCAGGAAGCCCTTGCTAAGCCTGTGAGGATGGCAAAGTTTAGGTAATAGTCGTCAGCAGAAACCCAGCAGCCAGCCACCAAGAAAAGAAGTATCCTCTGTTCTTCCTCCTTTCCAGCAATAGAAAAAGGTATCGGGGACCTTGTGATTGCAGCACATGGCAAGCTCAAGCAAGCTCTGCATTAGCTCCCCCCGGTCAGGCAAGACCCAGGCAATGCTTTGCCAGCAAATCCTCTAGAGAGCATTCAACTCGGAGCTCCTGAGGGACATGCCCTCGTTCTCCAGCTCTAGTATTTTGCTGAAAAAGACTGTGCGCTTCTACTCGCAATCCAGAGCGGCCCCACAGTGTACTCTTAAATCATCGCTCTAATTTTCTGGGCACCAGTATTGGAGTATGATAAGCAGAATAACTGGTTATGCTTTGTTCCTAAGGCATCAACTCCAAGCTATCTAATGGGTGTCCTGACAGTAAAATTTCAGTAATGGATTAAAGCAACTCAAAGGCAGAGTTTGCTCTGTTACTATGAAAGCAGTTTTGGACAGCTTTTGTACACCTGCCAGAGGAGCAGAGCACTGCTCCGCTAAGAGGCTGCATTACCCTCGTCATGCCAGCCTTCCCTCTTTGCTTTAGGGAAAGCTGACAAAGCCCTGTTTTTGCCAAAGAGGCTGCAGAAGTTAGATAATGAAAAGCTAAATTTTGTCCAGGGAACAGCTGTCTCCTTCTCTTCATTACAGTCAAAGTGGTTTTTGGGTCTCAAAGCAACTCCGTGACCTTTCAGGCCATGAGCATGGGACACAAGCACTACTAGCCTGTCCCCCCTGCACAAGTTTGCAGCACTTTTGGCCCACACACTATTAGTGGCCTCCCTGGGAGGGACATACCCTGGTATCCACGGACAGCCACCGCTCATTACTTCCAAGAAAGCTTTTCCAGCACAAGTTCCCAACGGATGAGAGGCTGCTGTGGTTTCTTTCAATCGTTGCCGAATGCCTGCTTCCTCCCCTCCTGCAAATGCCCCAGGAAGAGTTTCCCCCAGTTCAAGCTGCAAAACCAGCACCTCACCTAGCCTGGATGGGCTGAGGAGAGAGGGAAGGGGCAGCTCTTGCCTAAGCCCCTTTGATGGCCATCACATAAAAGATTTCAGGTTGAATTAGAATCTGAACATGAGCTACATGCTAGAGAGGGAACAACATGACACTGCACCTTCTCCATCACCTCGCTCGGCTTAGCCTAAGAGCGCTTTCCAAATTTCAAGGGATAAGTGCTCAGTGGGGGACAACTGCATCCCCGTGGCTGCTGGGGCGATTTCCGAGCAGCTGCAGGCACGGGCAGCGCTGCCTTTGGGGTGCTCCCATGTTTGTTCTCAGCTCCTGCACAGTGCTGGGATGGGGGGATACAGCGTCAGGATGGGAGGGACACGGCGCTGGGCTGCCTCTCCTGCCCACCAGCCCCAGCCCCAGGGAGGCCTGAGCACCACGGCACGCTCCTTTAAGACACAGTTGATCTGCGTATCTTCTTCAGCGTCTCACGCTGCCTGGCATTTGCAACCCCTGTCAAAAGCCTCAGTGTTACTCCCCTCGCACAGACACCACTAAGAGCAAAAAGAATCTCCGTAAGAAGCGTTGTGTGTATATGCATGTGTGCACAAAAGAGGCTATTGGGTGACAGACAAAAAGAAGGGTGCTTTTGTTCCCCTGCATGGAGAGAGTCTGAGAGAGACATGAGTTTGTGTAGGAAAGAGCACGTCTGCCTGAATTCTCAGAAGAAATATAAGCCACCCACACAGTTATGTATATTCCTGAATTTAAAAAGCAACATCTCTAATAAGGTGAGAACACCAGCTTGCAGCTCCAGGCCTGGCCACCCCCATGGGCCTGGCAATGCCACCCACTGCTGTCACTCTCCTCTATCACACACCAGATGTGGCTGCATCTGAGTTTCAAAAGAAAACAAAAAACAAACTGAAAACCCAACCAAGATGCCCTGAAGAACTAGATGCATCAAGACGGAAATGAAGAGCCTCAAGCGTCAGAGCCACACCACAGACCTGCTTTGGCTACATCTACACAGATAGCTGAACTCAGAAATGCATGTTAGTATAGCTTATTTCCACATACAAAGAAGTCCTTTCTTCACTCAAAGCTGCCTGCATGTGGCATTTATTCCCTGCCCCTCTCTTGCTCTGGCAGTGCCATGGGAAGTTCTGAAGAGACAGCCTGTCCTCATCTCCACCCCACCACAGCCCAGTGAGGGAGGAAAGCACTAGCAGAAAAGAGTTTCACAGCAATCAAAGCCATGTTCTGCAAGCTCAGTCTCCGGGAGGGTTTTAAAAAAAGCCAACAACAAAAGGAAAACCACTTTGCATATGCAATTTCCTCTTTCTCTGCTTTTGAAAGACCATTACCAAGACCTGTCAGCAATTTGCTGTAGAGACAAAGCCAAAGGGAGCAGATGATCACCTGGCACACAGCTGGCATTCAGCCATGCATTAGGATGACTGTGAAGCTGCTGTAGTTGCTTGAACCTAGGAGCTGAAGTTCAATAGCCCAGGGGCAAACCCATGCAGATGGGCCTCCTGCTCAATCTCAGGGTCGCTCTTGACAATATGAGCTCCAGCAACGACCCATCAGGGAGCCCTTGGTGATGGATACACCTTGCCACTAGGAGGATGCTGGGTTTCAGACCCCAGGCTCATTTCTAGGCAGTTCTCTGCCTCCCCACAGCCCTAACTTCACTGACTGGTCCCTTGTGCACAGTCACTGCAGCACCTCCTCTGCCTCCATGCACTTCTGCTCTTTCCTGCCCTTCCCTGGTAACTGTCTCCAGTTTGTCACATTATGAATAGCTTCAGGCACTTGGAGAGGATGCACAACTCGCTTCATTCATCAGCCCAGGACAGGCCCTTGGCACCACCATTCAAGCCAATCTCCTGCTGCTGCTACAGGCTGGACTCAGACAGACACATTGCGGAGCCCAGAGAGAAGCAGGACTTTGGAGTATGACTCCAGGGAGATGCTATCTCAGCTGCTCTGCTGGGTGGGAGCAGATCCTTCCCGGGGCTCAGGGAACAGCAGAGGACTGCAGGCTTTGGACTCTCCTCCACACATCCCCCTTTTTTTGGGTCTCAGGAAGGGGGAATTGCTAATTGCTGGTTTGCCCAATATGTGATATTTCACAGGTTTAAGTGACTGCGTTCCTACAGCAATAACTTTTGCCTTTAGCTTCAGTCACACCAGAGGATTCCCAGAGGTCAGAAGCAGGGAGACTTCCTGCTACTGCAACGGATTCCTGTAATCCCACCTTTATTCCTATGCTGCCTTCTCCCACACACAGGGCGGCACCTCACCAAGCCACCCCGAGGGTTTCCCATTTGCTCCCCTGCATCCTTTTTTCTCGTTTATCCATCATCTTATTCTCTTTCCGATTATCCTGGAGTTGTTTGCCTTTTACTTTAAATTCTACGTACACACATCTCCTTGTGCTGGGAGAACAGGGGGACCCCATGGGCGCATCCCCCACCAAACAAGCAGCCAACCAAGTCTGCAAACGCTCTAGCGGTGCCCTTCTCCCCAGTGTGGCATTGCGCAACCCACAGCCTCGTCTCTGCCCCATCAGCACCCCAGGGCTGGCCAAGCTCCCACCTGCATGTAGCCTTAACGGGTTTCTTACCTTTGACCTATGAACCTCCCCATCATCGTCTTCTCCGCCAACCCCCAAGATCTTCCGTGTCTTCAGCCGGCTCACCAGGTCTGTCTGGCTGTGCTTCTTCATCAGTGGTGGGGGCTGTTTGGTTGCCATGGCGATGCACAGGCACTTGCCCGTTTGGCTAGAAACTGTGAATTACAGAGTTGAGGAAAATCAGTAGCGCTGACACAGAGCGTCCCCCTCAAGGGGCCCGAGGCAGTGCGCGGGTCCACGGGCAGGCGTGGCAGTGTTGAGCCCTGCGCTGGCCAGGCAGGAGCCGCAGTGGGGGGGTAAACAAGTGGCTTTCGCCTACTTTAGTCCACCCCACAGTGCATGTGGTCGGAAGGGTTTCACTCCCTCCCAAAGCTTCACAAAACCAGCATCCAACCAAGCTGGGCTTGGAGCGCACTGGGGCAAAGGGGTGGCCCCTTCCTCAGCCCCAGGTAGCTCTCTGGAAATGGGGGTGTGTGGTGCACTGTGCCCACAGCCCACCCCCCACCCCGGCTGCACCAGTGAGCAGGGAGTCACCAAGCAGCCATCAGAGGACCGTGTCTGGGATGCGGACACCTGTCCCCTCAGGGCTCGGAGGGGGCACCGAGTCACGGGGACCAGAGTCACCCCCAAGGCACTGCCTGGAATACAGCTCCAGCTCATGAGCTGGTAACAGCTCCATCCCCAGAGAGCTTGGTTCCCTGCTACATCCAAAGCCTGAGGAAATTCTGTCCAGAGAAAATAAAAAAGAAGACAGAATTTCTCTCATATAACAGCCAAAGAGGTGACTGAAAATCCATCAAAGATTTGCAACTTAAAACAGACTTTTCACAGCTGCTCCTGCTAAAACTCTGCTCTGTGTGCTTTTATCTTCCCAATTACAGCAGCAGGGAGATAGTTTGCTATCTGCTTGGCACCCGTCTTGTTGCAAGGCATGGGAGGAGGGGAGCCCAGCCAGCCAACACAAGCCCCTGGCCAGGCACGCGGACCTCATGCAGGAGCATACCCTGCTCCCACTGCTCCAGCCAGGCCGCAGGTAGACACTCTAAGGAGGGTTTTGCGCGCCAAGATCTTGTCCGTCATCTCACCTTGACGGCTGATAGCCTTTCACTCTCAGTTGTGAGAGACTGTGAAAAAGTAGGCAGGAAATGGTTTTGCCGTCATATGAAACTTCACCAGGTTTAAAAACAAGAACTTCCTGTTATGCCAGCAGACAGCTCTGCATCTTTCCAAACACTTCCTTTGTTGGCCGAGCACTGGGGAGGCCTCGTGTTCAGTTGGGTGCCGGTTTACAATGCAGTGTCTGTAGGCCACTACAAGCAACTCATTTCAACATTTCGGGAGACCTTCTCAGCTCCGGAGGGAAGAAACCTGTTGTCACCACAATCTGTCAAATTAAAATCAGAGCAGCATCCGTTTAGCATGGCAACCAGGAGCCCTGTTACTGATACCTGCTCCTTATTGACTCCCCATCCTTCCTTTGCTTCACTTCTGTCTTTGTGGCCAAAGGGAGGGCATCAACAGTGCTGGTGAGGGCAGGGAGGTCCTGAGCTTCAGGGAAGATACTTGACTTTGCTGCCAGCATCACTAGGCAGGCGCTGCTTGCAAAACTAGCTTTGACTGGGCAAACTGCTCACCAGGGGAAAAAACAATGGCAACTTGAAGATGGTAACAGAGACAAAAGGAGCAGACAAGTGCCTTAACAGTCACATTTGGCCTTAATGACCATAGCTCAGAAAAATATGGTCTTTAGATTTCCATCTGTCCCACCACCTGCCCCTATGCAATTTTTCCCCTTCCTTTATGAGGCAGGGCAACTTTCAGGCTTCATTTTTCACAAAGACACATGAAGTGCCTGTTAAGGAACAAAAGTAGCAACACTACCCACTGTCCCTTTCAATCAGCATATTTTGTCATGCATTAAACACAAGAAGAGCCACAAGCTTCACTGGAACATGCTATAAGAAGTTTTTGATCTATAAGCCACAGTGCAGCCTATCCCAGCATAAGGCAAAGTCCAAGGCCCTTCAGGAGCATGCTATCTCCTGACTATTTTCCAGACTAGGAGTCATTAAATGATGCTTTGCATTTTGTCTTTCTCCTAGCTGTACACCACACCTTTTAGTTACCTTTTTGAGCTAAGCATCATGCAAACCCCAGGTATTTGTTTGCTCCCCCTCACCACTTTTCTTTTTTTTTTATTCCTCCTCCTCCCCCCAACATCTGGCAGCCCCCATGTTCTGTAAGAACATACCAGTCCTGGAATTACCAGGGGCAAAAATAACCAGGGGCAAAATCCTCCTTGAGACTATGTTGCTTCATGGGAAACAGGAGATGATAGCAAATAGAAAGAGGAAATAATAGCTAGGATAAGAACAAGATCAAAATAACTTTCAGGAGCTAAGGCAGAAAAGACAAAGTTAGCATGGTATAAGGGAAGAGGTGTCAGAAGCCCCATGAAATCGTTCAGTAGGATCCTGCAATCAAAACAGCTTGGAAACCCTCAGTTCAGAAAGTCTTTTCTCCCAATTTGTCTTCATTTCATCTTGGCTCAGATGAGCACAAAAACATTTTTCCATTTGCCACTGCATCATCCAAGAATCCCATAAAAGAATCCCCCAAAGGCACCAAACAGCTCATCTAGTCAACCTTGAGCACAGAGCTCAAGCACAGGCAATCCCATGCCCCAATCAAATCTTCCCATGGCTGTCCCTGGAGAACAGAATTTATGCTTGTGTCAAAAGAGTTTACAAGTGTTCAGGGAGTCCTAAAATGAGAGGTGTTGGTTATTTTGGCGTCATGCATGGAAGCGTACTACTGCTGCCCTGCAAGGGATTTCCCTCTCTCTGGAAAATCGTTCTCTGTCAGACGGTTGTCCATGGAAGAACAGACGCACAGTTTCTGAAAACATCCAAAGAGCACTAACATAATTCTTTCTGTAACACAAGCCTATGAGGTTTTGTTGGGACAACACAGACTGAATTCTGTCCTCAAAAGGTTTACTAAAATGCTCTGAGCAGAAGGCAGGCATGATATTTCTACCTGCAGTTCAGCTGCAGAGCAAGCAGTTCAGCTGCTTAGGGCTTTGCAGGTACTTCTTTTGCATTTCACAGTTTTTGTTTTGTCTTTTTACACTGAGGAACTAAGCCCAGCTTCTGTCAGGCACCTGAAAGCCACTGCAGCACACAGCCAGCTGCAGCAGCAAGAGGCTAGAAACATTTCAGAAGTGAGAATGACAACTGAAGAGGGAAACTGTAACTTGCATACTCATTCCTACACCAGGATGTACAGCAAGAAGCTCAAAAGGTAGCTGCTTGTAAAAAAGTTTGGAAGAATTAACTTGTTTAGATTTTGCCAACCCAGACTGTCACAATAACTGGTGTGCGCTCAAATCGACAAATCTGAACAGAAAGTCCGCCCCAAAACTAGAATGATGCATTGCAAAAGGCTTGACCTCTTTTATTGTGATTTCTGCAGTTCTTTGTTCCTGGAAGGCCCCAGGATTACAAGCTTGGATACGAAATGGTTTCCCACCAGAACTCCCCTGCTGCCAAAACCAAAAAAAGTCCTCTGACATTTGTAGCCCAGCTTTTCTGATCAAAAGTAACCAGTTCAATTCAGAAAGATCATGTCACTTTTGCACACTTTCCTTACTTGTCCTGAGGTCCAGGACCACTCTAAGGTCACCCCACATTGGCCCAGTGAAGCCAAGACAACATCAGGACAGGGTCACTACTAATGACGAGCAAGTAAGGAAGGCTGCCTCCACCAACACCCTCCCCTCAGGGCCACGGAGGGCCCAGTCTGCCCCCTTGCTGCCCCACAGTCTTCTGCTACAGAGACCATATCCCTGACCAAAGAGCAAGGTGCAAGTTTACTGAGGACAGACTGATTTCCGGTCCTGGACATTGATTCCTAACCAACAGCTACTAAATGAGCGTTAAGTGCATGATCTTCATTGTGCCTACTCCTGGGATGGAGGCAAGAGCAGCCAAGAGCAAAGGACTGACACTGGGTACACCAGGGACAAGCTGTTGGATAGTCAGGAAGCCCCTTGCCCCACTCTGAATACACTCGTACCTACTCAGTTGCAGGGCTGGGGCCACTTTCCCCTCCACTACAGGCTCTGGTGGGGAGCAAAGAGAAGGGAGATTTGCTAGAAGAGGCAAAAATCCAGCAGTGGGAGGGCAAGAGAACCTGAGCTGCAGAATCCTACTGGCCCCACGGTCACCAAAGCCCCCCCGAGGGACCAGAGCCCTGAGGCTTGCTGGTCTTCACAGGATCTGGGACGCCCAGTTTGCTGTGTTTCCACACAACACCAGCCTGATACCTCCAGGCACCTCCAATTTCCTTCCCAGGGAAGGGGTGTTGCCCACACCTCCTGCTCCATCCTCCTCCCGGTCAGAGACTAGGGGAGCGGCAGGAGGACAGACACCTCAAGACCCAGAGAATCTCTCGAGGACAAGAACTAAAGAAAGGGGGTCGGGGTTAAAGGAGGGCTTCATGATTCACAGACTAAGACAGAGATAAATGGCTCTATGATTACGAAGGCAAGTTTTTCCCAGTCAGACCACAGGCCAAAAGATCAAACGTTTGCTTTATCAGCTGTCTCACCAGCTGCCTTCAGGACACGAGTTGGAAATTTATCCATATCCTCATTAGCACTGCTCCCCCATTAAGAATTTCCACTCATTTGTGGTAAACCATCGGCCGAAAGCCGGGACTATGCAGGCTAGATAAAAAGCCAATAAAATAAGCAGTGAAGGCCGTTCTGATACATAAAACCACACTCCCACTGTGCTAAGCACAGCTACGGCACAGCCCAGCATCAAATCCTACGTCTCATTATCTCCATCTTCCAGAGAAAGAGCTGGTCTAATGAATACTGAATATTAATGAATAAGGAGCTAATAAATGCATTAGCGTTAATTCAATGACATAAGATGCTAAGGATTTGAAAACTTCATACTTACATTAACAGATCCTGACACGCTGAGAAATTAGAGGATGTTTTCTATTAGTCTGTGCATTTTCAAGAGAAAACTTCCACCTCCTCCTTCTCTAGTGATTCTTTTCCCCTTAATCCTTTTTCTGAGCATCCCAGTGGCTGCACAGATCAGTCACCACATACAGGTGATTCCTATTCCCCCACAGCTCTTTAGTGATGGGCACCACCTAAATGCAACTAAAAGAGCTTTTTTTCTCTGAAATCCCTTTTCTTCTTTTCAGTATCTCTTTCCTTGCTCAGCTCTGTTCAGTATATTGTATTCAGTTTTGATAGCTACTGCTTACTGGTACAAAGAAACCTCACTGGTGCCATGCTAAAGATAGCTCAATCTCTCCCCACCTCCACAGCTCTTCTCCCGGCATCGCTGCCTCCCTCCCAGCCCAACGGCTAAGAGCGCTGGGAAAGAAGAGGTGCTCCAGAGCACAGACCGCACCTGTGATGATTTGGCAGCCACCAAGCACACATGCCAAAGACGCCCAGAGGGGAGCGATGCACACAGCATCAGCTGGCGCCACAGGAGCGGGACCAGACGCTGGTCCTGCGGGCACCCCGAAGTTGACAGTTTATACCTTCGGCAAACTACTGCGGAGCAGTGGGCAGGCAGTACCCTGCCCTCCCATGGGGCCAACTCTGGCGCCAGCCTGATCCCCAGCACCGCAGGAGTGTCCCAGGGCAAGGATGTCTTTGTGGCTGTGCAAGCACTGCCATCTTGGACACAGCCTTTTGCCTGACAAAGCGGCGCTGCTCAAATTAAAGAAGTGGTACTACATTACCTCTCACTGCAAGGGTTTGAGGGCACTTCCAGTCTGAAAGCAGGGTAAGGTAAAATGAACCGGAGTTGAGCCAGGATAATGAGAGAAAGGTTAACAAACAGAAGCTGGCCACGAGTTGTTCAGCTCTGCCACATCCAGGCCAGGGAGAGGATTCCTGCCAGCAGGCTCTGGTTTTCGGTTTCCCAAGTCAATATGCTGAAGGCAACTCACGGTCTTCAACCCACTCGGATCTGTTGATGCCAAAAAGAGTTAACTGAGAAGGAATGAATTCCCACAGTGGATTTATGTTCTCTCTAAGAGCGTAACAGAGGTCTTGCCATTTCTAAGTATCTTCTGTGGACCACAGGTAGACAAGCACACTGGCAAACATGAAGATACAGCACTGTCCCTTTATGATATTGGACATTGTCTTGGCACTTTATAAATGGTGGGTGTTCCTCGTAGTACCCTGGGGAGGCAAACACTGCAATATGCATTTTACAGGTGGGGAAACAAGAGCCACAGAAGGAAACCCATGCCTTCTACATCAGAGATTAAGCAGAAGGAGCACTACGTGGTCTCCTCATCAGCAATTCCTGCAGAAAGGCCTGTGGGCTGACCAAGATATGGATTCTGCCCCACTTTCTCTTGTCTTTAAAAGACAGCCCTTCAGCCATTCCCTTCTGCCTTCTCTTCGGGGGCAGTTCAAGATAGCCATGCCACAAAACACAGCATCTCATCCCTGATGCCACGGCAGCAGACATGGTGGCCAGGGAGCTAGACAACAGATGGCAGGCATAACATCCTCATTATTGTAATTTTGAACAACTGATCCCAAATGGGAGGCCCTGTGGCCACTTGTGCACATGAGCAAGAGACCTCTCCCAAGGACACGAGCCAGCTCCTTCCCAGTGCTGAGCCACAACACACCCTACGTGAGCTGCCACCACCCCAGTATAACGCAAGCTTCCACAAGGGAGAGCCCTAGCATGGGCCAAGGGAGAGGCTTCCAGCTCTGCGGCGGCATGAGGGCGCGAAGGGGCAATCGCACCGGATACGGCAGCTGCACTGCAGCTGGCTCTCACAGCCAGGCTGATGCCCACACCTTTCTCTCGCAAGGCCCTAGTGGCAGTAATGCCCTTGCCCAACTCCTCTGCTGCCTCTCTCAGACTGACTGTCCCCTCTCTAATGTTTGCCAGCGAGGGGAGTGCCAGGTTCATAGCACATTGCAGTATACTCAGAGCAGCACGTCCACAGAGATTAAAAGAAAAAAAGTCTGGGCTCAAGCACACAGGCAGGGCAAAGGCAGTGGATGCAGAAGTCGGAGCAGTTATACAAGAACAAGACTAATCAGAAGGGGACAGATAATTTTCCATGTATTATTTTCTGCCAGCCACCTGTCATCTTCTTTTCCAAGAGGCTCATTACTGGAGTATCTCAATGCCTCATAACCTTTCCACACAACAGCACTGTGCCTTAGGGATAGATGATACCCTGCTTTGGAAACCTCAAGAGATTAAGGACAGGATTCCCAGAGGTACTAAGTTCCTCAGCTCTTACAAATATCAGGCTGTTACCTAAAGGGAGCAGGATCTGCAAGGCTCCTTTTCTCACAGGCTTGGTCTGCTCGCTTTTATGTGCGGAAAATCTCCTGGTTAACAACTTCAGACACTTAAGCACTCTGAAATGCCTAACGGCTAAAGCAAACCCCATCTGCATAACTCAGTAATGTACACATTGGAGAGCTGCAAAGCACCTCTGTGAATCTTATCCAAACAGCTTACTAAAATTTTGCTCAAGATGCCATGAGCAAAGCAGGCCAGGATTCCCCAAGTCCCAGGTAACTACCAAGGGCTACCAATACATCTTAAAACAGAACCATTTGCATTTATTGCTGGGAAGAACAGGCTCAAACCCATGCCTTGGATAAAGGGCATTAAATCTCCATTCTAGATAAGAGGGATGCTTTTCCAAAGCAGTCAGGATGCCTCAAAGACCTAAAGGGAACATAACCTGATCTAGCTGAAAATGATCTATGTTCAGGCAATAAAAACAATTAGTACCTAGCCACCACGGCAGCATAATGCGACTCAAGTTCAGTCTGGCACAGTCTGTGCACCTAACAGGCAATTTTCAGACTTCTCACCAGTAACAAGCCAGGAACACAGAACTCCTTTCTCACATAGACAACTGCCCTTTAAGTCTCTTGGTAACATCAGCAGGGAACATCTCTGGCCGGAGGTTCATTCTCCAACTCAGCCGCAGCCCTGACACCATCCAAACCAGCGCAGGAACACTATGTCCTGCCTGGGGCACGTTACTAAAAAGCTACAGACCCACATGCTCAATTTCCAGCACTTTCACTCCACAGACCACGGTGCATCACGCAAACATGAAGCCCAAGCCTTCGTCAAAAGGCCCGTTTACGGGGTGCCTCTAGAACAACTCCTATGAACAAGCCAGAGGAAACCTCAAAACCCAAACCACCTGCTGTGCAGGCTCTCAACCAGTAAGAGCTGCCTCAGACGTGTTTGGAGCTCACCCTCCTGGTTAGATATGCTCCACAGGCAGTAGTGTCGGACACCCTCAAATGCCGTTTGGAAGCATTGCAGAGCCCCCAGGTGCGAGGCAGCAGCCCACCGTGCCTACAGCAGCTCCAAGGACCATGGACACAGCCAGTACAGCCACTGCCACCATGACACAGAGCGGGCACCAACAAAGCCTCTGCAGCCTGCCAAATAGGTAAGGTAGATCTGTGTTAATTACTCCGTACTATGGCAGGCAGCTCTAGAAAATAAGACATCCAAAGCCTGCTCAGTTCTTCCCGTGCCTCCTTTGCTCCCCTCTGCCTATCCACACTGCCCATGGGAGTGATGCATCCAGCACCTTTATGACCTGGGCATTCTCAGCTCCTATACCATCTCCAGTCCTCCCGCTATACCCTCCTCTCCTCCTGGAGCCCTTGCTCTGACATCTCCCCTGCACACTGCCCACACTGCTGCTCCTGCCCTCAGGCTCCACAATGAGAGGTGCATGGCCGTTTTCACATGCCATTGCTTTGCAGTTTTCTGCAGCTCTCCCTAAAGCAGAAAAGCAGCAAAGAAAGTCATTATTAGGAAAATCAACATACTCTCCCCACATCTCCCTCTAAGAAGGGCAAGGGAAACTGTGCATCAAGACAGTGCTACAGCAAGGCTGCCTAAATCCATACCTCTGTGTCCTGCCTGTCTGCATACGAAGGAGCAGGGTAGAAGGAGAAAAGTGGAATCACTGATGCTGCCAAAGCTCAGATATGCACCCTGAGGACACAAAGCCCTTACACACCCCTCTCTGCAAACAGAGGGGAGACAGTGACAGGAGGAACAGGAAAAGCCTGATGCAACAAGAATAACTCTAAGCACCATCTGCGTGGCGGGGAATCGCTAGATAAAAACATCCTCTCAACACCTAGCTCACTCACAACAGCATCGTTCCAGGTGACAAGGTTGTAAGTGACACTTCCTGAATCCTGATGGGGCAGGAAAGCATTTCTCTACCCAGCACAGCCCGCATAGTCATTATGAGGGCTTACCATAAAATAATTGCCAAGGCTGCAAGTTTCTCCTCTGTTTTCTGACCAGATGGAGCCTGGTCTCTATACAGCTCACATTCATAAGCTTCCCCCCACCACATCCCACAAGAAGCATCATGCTCTGAGTGCCTGGGAGAGGTCCCAGCTCAAGGACTTCATAGCCCCTAAGTTTCAAATTTCTTTCTGCAGACTGAACAGGAAAACTTCTTTCCATGTTGCAGAGTGTTACATAACAATCAAAAACTGCAAAGTGTTCAATCTCCCCAGAACTAGATAGAAAAGCTCCATCACTCTATTAGTTTCTCAAACTAGAGCTATAATTAAAACACAGCAAGCAACTGCATTTCTACCAGCCTGCTAACCACCACCTGCAGCAACGCGCCAAACTTCCACAGTGAGCAAGAGCAGCTACACTTCACCTCAGACAAGAAACACTCTCTGGCACCTTGCAGCAGCTTTGCAGGGCAGCCAGCAATACACTTAACATGCTCTGTCAGGCACCCTGGCTGGACGGCTACCGTGACTGTCACGCACAACGCACCATGCACGTGCTTGCTCAAATACCTGACCTCACTCTAGCCACGCTGCATACGTGTGCCATGTCTCACTGAGCTCACAACACCAGACGTGAACTGACTTCCCATGCAGACACGCATGCATACATGTACACACCCACGCTGCACATGCTTGGCCACACTATCTCGCTTTTTCAAGAAGTTGCCTGCCTGTCCCTCGCTGCTGAGGAGTGTTTTGGCTGCACATATAAAAGATGCAAGATGCAATCTGCTGCTTCAATGGCTCCAATCTCCAAGTATTATTTCCATAAGAAAGTCAATTCCCTTCCATTCTTCTCCCTGACGGCAAGGCACTCAGCCCTGAGCTGGCTGCAGCCATCCATCAGCGCAGAACTACTGTAGCTCTCCCTGATGACTCAAGCAGCCGCATTTTCAGTCTCAAAGCAGAATCAGCATCCAGTTCATCGCCTTAATAATCGATTGGACCACCACGCCGGACGACAGGGAGATAACTGCCTCGCTTGCTCATCCACCTCAGTCTGACAGCTCACAGGCAGCCTGCAAGCACCAGCCCCAGGGGCATAGGACGGGGAGAAGTGGCGGTGGGAACGAGCCTCCCTCGTAGGGCAGAGCACTTCGACTTACTCCTCTAGATAATCCTATGACTCAGGTATCATTAGCAGAACACCCTACGCACTGAAGTTCCCCAGGGCACGAGGGAACTGGGAAGGTGGAAAGAGGAGGAAATTAAATGGGAAAGTATTGAGAACGTGCATTGTTTTCCTTTAAGGACATTAAAGGAGAAGGAATCTGTAATTTCCCAGCTGCCTCAGACAGGTGCTTGTGGAAGACAGCCCCCGAAGCAGAGTGGGCCATCTGTCCTGCAGACCATTTCTGCAGGGAAACAAGCAGGGCAAGGGGAAGCGCAGCAAAACAAGCCGCCCCGCGCTGCTGCAAGAGAGCAGCTTTAAAAGGCCAGCAGCGTCCTTCAAACAAACAGGATAATAAAGGTCAGTTTTGCAGAAAATCTGAAGCAAGTCTCCTTCATCTCTGCTGTCTCACTCCTGAGAATTGCATAGGCTCAAAGAAACTCTAGGGAAAATAACGCTGGGGCTGCTGGGAAAGCCCAGGCGCACATTGGGCTGCACCACGACAGCACCGTAAC